AATAAATTCATGGACGCCTAATAATGTTTTTCCTCTCTGAATGTCATCAAGTAGTTTTTGGTACTGCCACAGTATAAGAGAGTTTCTTATTTAGGATACTTATGGTTGCAATTAACAGAAAATTTGACTGGGAATTACTTGGCATAATGGGTTAGCCAACTTTTTCTGTAAAGTGCCAGCTAGTAAATATTTTATACTTTGCAGGCCACATAGTGACCAGAGATAGGGCGGTTTCCTCAGTAATTTAGTGTCGACAAGGACCTTGTTTGTCATCTATCTGTCCACACTATCTTTCACAGTTAACTTATATCCTAGAGTTTATTCCCTCTTGTGTTTATAAGATAGCAGCCAGGGGCTCCATGGGTCGTTTTCCATGTCTAGAGATTAACTAAGATTAACATTTTAATGCAATATTTTCAAAATCTGAATTAACATAAAAATCCATAATGAATAAAATGTCATATTTTAAATAAAGAGAGGACCAGTATTATTAATTTTTACTTTTGCCTCAAGCTCCAGTATGGCTTGGCTTGGCCCTGAGAGTTCATAGCCAGAAATCCAGTGGAATAAGTTGTGTGGGATGTGTGTGTGTGTGTGTGTGTAAGTGTGTGTATGGGTGGATCGTTGTATAAGAGGGAGAGAGAAAGAAAGAAGTGAATCACAAAGCTAAAAGAAACCTTAGTCCCAAAAGGTTAGTTCAATCAATGTCACAGGTGAGGAAAGAAGAAATTAAATGCTTTGCCCTGAGTCGATCCCAGAGATCCTTAAAGAGATTAAAGCTGGGGCACTTACAGAGTAGTGGCTTTCAAGACAAGAGAAACTCACATTCCCTAAAAGGAGGCAAACTGAGTCCAATGGATTGGTCCAAAGCTCAATGGATTGGCTCAATGGATTGGTCCAAATTGGGGTATTACTGGACCACACCACATGGAGATAGAGCTTTTAAAATAGTTAGAGGTCCCAGAGCACCGGCATGATTTGGATACTGCACCATTAAGGATTCCAAAAAAATAAAGTATGGCCCGGAGATGTGGCCACCACCTCTTTTTGATGCCAGTGTTTCCAGGAGAATGAGGGCTGAGGAGGGATCAGTCACCAGCCCTAATGCCCTCGCTAGGACCAGCCTGGCTCTGGACATAGAGGCAAATACACTCTTGCTCAGTCCCTGCTGTCTTTCCTCGGCTTGGCTTTTTCTCCCACTGTAGTGCTTTGTCCTGAGGTTTGGATTTGACTTTGGTTCTGATGCAGTCAGAGGGAGTCCTTTCACTGACCCAGGCCAGTTCCGCTTGAGTTGACAATAGGGTTTGGGGGCAAAGCACCAGCTAGAATCAGTGTCCCTTTGCCTCGCTTTGTCCTCAGTGAGTATGGAGTCCCCCACTGATCTTGTGGGAAAAGGGAGATAACAGAGGAAAGGTTTGGGCATTCCGGGTCCCTGGCCCAATTCTGTGCCAGTCATATATTTTAGAATCTGCAAGTAACTGTCAACATCCCATTTGACAAGACGTAGAATACAGTCCAGGCATGTGGTGACAATGAAAGCCTCTGTTCCTCCTCGTTCTTTCCCCATCCAAGTCTAGGGAGTCAAGGATGATCCTGTGTACACACAGTGTTCTGAACACGGCACAAGTTCTGAATAAGGCAAAGCAGCTATGGCCACTGGTTTTCCAGATCCAGCCATTTCTTTGTCCTCTTATGGATTTTTGATAAGCTCTGTGTCCCATGGATGGTGAGTAGCTGGCCTAAGAAGTCAAGGGTCAGTTCCAATTAGGATGATCGTCTCATCCCAGTTTGCTTGGGACTTTCCTGGTTTTAGCACTGAGAGTCCCAAGTCCCAAGAGACCCTTCAGCCTACTTCCAGTGACCAGCATCCAGGCTGGGACCTCAGGGCATCTCTAGAGTCATTACGGAGGTGGGACACTTGACCTTTTCTTAGGAAGAGGATGGAACCCCAGTGTGTGGAGTAAAGGAGTAGGTGAACTCACTTTTCAAGTTAGGGGATAGGGACTCCGGTAAAACCTGTCCTTCCACCTCTGATAAGAATCAGATGCTTTTGGCCTGGGCCTGTAGTCTGCAAGCAGTAAGAGTTGGCTGCAGGCCAGAGGTGCTGGTGAGGACCCCTGGGTTGGGCAAGCACTGACACTGGCAAATTGGAAATGGCAGATTGGAAAACGCAGGGCATTAGACCCCTACCACATTGGAATCAGGGCAGAGGGAATGGAGGCAGGAGCTGCCGTACCCAAATCTACCCCCAGGGACAAGGTTTCCAGGATGACATACCCTCCTGTAAGGCCAACCGTGGAGTGTCTTCACAGGCATCAGCCTCAGCCTCGTTCCCAGGACAGGGCTAATGGAGAAAGTGCTAGAGACACGTGATCTTGTCAACACCTGCATGGTGTGTAGCAGTCTCCCACCTGGATTTTGAGAGGCAGCTGTGGACAGGAAGACAAGTGAAGGAATGAGGGTTGGTAAGCCCATCAGAGTTGTCTTTTCCGGTCTGGTACACACGTACACACGCACACACGCACGCACGCATATTCCAGCCTGATCAAAGCATGAAGAACTCTTAAGGGAGGAGACAGACGTGTGAAGTCCTGAATGAAGCCACACAGGAGAGCACAGTGAGTAAGCGTCTGAGCAGGGAAAGGGAGCCAGGTGCCCAGCAACTCAGGCAAATGCTCACAGTTCATGATCTCCCTGAGCAATTCCCACTGGGCAGTGGACTCAGGGTGCTGTAAAGGGACCACTTAGCCTCTAGTGATAACTTCCATCGTACTGGAATGAGCAAAGATGAAAGAAGTTCCAAAGAGATCATGCTTATAAAAGGATCTGAGGAGACTGTAAGGTTATGGAATGGGTAGGATGAAAGAACTGTAGGATTTAGATAGAAAGAGATTGGAGGGAGGTAGAAAAAAAGGGGGTGGTCAAAGGCTCCAATCAGAGAGCTGGGAGAGGTTCAAAGAACAGCTTACATTGACATAGATAATAGTGTTTACTGCGTTATAGTTACTGCTGTCTATGTCTACTCGTGTCCAGCTTCTCTTCCACCCACCCGTTCCACTTTCAAATCACAAGCTGTATAAAGACAGGGTTGTGTCTCACTCAGCTCCATGTCTATGGACGTGCTCAGCACAGTGCTTTTAACATCATGGGTACTGAAGGAATGTTTCTGATAACAATTGAAGTGAATTTAAGAACCAATTTATTGAAGTTTAGGGCATATGTCTTAGGACAAAGAATGGCAACCACGTATGTGAAAATAAACCTGGTGGAGCAAACTGAAGTCCCCATCAAAGTGCCCAAAACACAATTATGGATTATTTCTATCATACATATAAGCCATGTAATTAAATCTTTAAAACTTAAGTATAGGCCGGGCGCTGTGGCTCACGCCTGTAATCCTAGCTCTTGGGAGGCCGAGGCGGGCGGATTGCTCAAGGTCAGGAGTTCAAAACCAGAAAACTACCCAGACTTTTTCATCAAGATCTTCATAGAGATCATGCACATCCTTTCAATTAGTACAACTTTATCTCTTTAAAAATAGTCCACAACTCCATGTAAATCAGAATGACCCATTCAGGTAATCAGAAGGGCCTGGTATTTGCAACCTCTGGGTATTGCACAGGCTGCTTCACAACAGGGGACAGGCAATCTCTGGCACCAGTGACTTGCTGGCTGCTGGCTGCTGGCTGGAGCCATTGTTGATGACTGATTTTGGTCACTCCACAGCCTGTGCCTCTCTTCATTTCTCTTCGGTGCCTATTATCTTACTTCTTTCCCTGCCTTCTATTCCTTTTCTCTGTTTTCCTTTTTGTCTTCTTATATTAAAGAGACTAATCATTGCCCCCACTCCCACTTCGTCTAGGTGTTTCTGTCCCTGCACAGGGCTCTGCCTCCCCTTTCTCTAGCACGTCATTCCCCCGAAGCAACAGCTGCTGGTTCCCACTCTTCCTGAGGCCTGATCGCTCGGCTTTGCCTCGCAGTCTATGGAGATCTTTACAACCATCCCTCTCTACTTGAGCTTATCTAGCAGACTCCTGTTCTTGCAACCAAAGGTGTCCCAGGACCCT